TAATTCTTCCACTCTACTCCATGCTGATTAGGCCTCAACTCGAGTATTGTGTTCAGTTCCGGGCACCACATTTCAGGAAAGATGTGGACAAATGAAGAGAATCCAGAGAAGAACACCACAAATGATTAGAGGTCTAGAAAACATGACCTATGAGGGAAGAATGAAATAACTGGGTTTGTTTAGTCTGCAGAAGATAAGATTGAGAGGATACGTAACAGTTTTCAAGTGCATAAAAGGTTGTTACAAGGAGGAGGGAGAAAAATTATTCTCCTTAAGACCTGAGGATAGGACAAGAAGTAATGGGCTTAAATTGCAGCAAAGGTGGTTTAGGTTGGACACTAGGAAAAGGTGGTTTATCAGGGTGGTTAAGCACTGGAATAAATTGCCCAGGGAGGTTGTGGAATCTCCATCATTGGAGATTTTTAAGGGCAGGTTGGACAAACACCTCTCAGGGACGGTCTAGATCATAGAATATCAGGGTTGGAAGGGACCTCAGGAGGTCATCTAGTCCAACCCCCTGCTCAAAGCAGGACCGATCCCCGATTAAATCATCCCAGCCAGGGCTTTGTCAAGCCTAACCTTAAAAACTTCTAGGGAAGGAGATTCTACCACTTCCCCAGGTAACGCATTCCAGTGTTTCACCACCCTCATAGTAAAAAAGTTTTTCCTAATATCCAACCTAAATCTCCCCCACTGCAACTTGAGACCATTATTCCTTGTTCTGTCATCTGCTACCACTGAGAACAGTCTAGAGCCATCCTCTTTGGAACCCCCTTTCAGGTAGTTGAAAGCAGCTATAAATCCCCCCTCATTCTTCTCTTCTGCAGACTAAACATCCCCAGTTCCCTCAGCCTCCCCTCATAAGTCATGTGTTCCAGTCCCCTAATCATTTTTGTTGCCCTCCGCTGGACTTTTTCCAATTTTTCCACATCCTTCTTGTAGTGTGGGGCCCAAAACTGGACACAGTACTCCAGATGAGGCCTCACCAATGTCGAATAGAGGGGAATGATCATGTCCCTTGATCTGCTGGCAATGCCCCTACTTATACATCCCAAAATACCACTGGCCTTCTTGGTAACAAGGGCACACTGTTGACTCATATCCAGCTTCTCGTCCACCGTAACCCCTAGGTCCTTTTCTGCAGAACTGCTGCCGAGCCATTCAGTCCCTAGTCTGTAGCGGTGCATTGGATTCTTCCATCCTAAGTGCAGGACTCTGCACTTGTCCTTGTTGAACCTCATCAGATTTCTTTTGGCCCAATCCTCCAATTTGTCTAGGTCCCTCTGTATCCTATCCCTACCCTCCAGTGTACCTACCACTCCTCACAGTTTACTGTCATCTGCAAACTTGCTGAGGGTGCAATCCACACCATCCTCCAGATCATTTATGAAGACATTGAACAAAACCGGCCCCAGGACCGACCCCTGGGGCACTCCACTTGATACCGGCTGCCAACTAGACATGGAGCCATTGATCACTACCCGTTGAGCCTGACAATCTAGCCAGCTTTCTATCCACCTTATAGTCCATTCATCCAGCCCATACTTCTTTAACTTGCTGGCAAGAATACTGTGGGAGACCGTGTCAAAAACCTTGCTAAAGTCAAGGAACAACACGTCCACTGCTTTCCCTTCATCCACAGAGCCAGTTATCTCATCATAGAAGGCAATTAGATTAGTCAGGCATGACTTGCCCTTGGTGAATCCATGCTGACTGTTCCTGATCACTTTCCTCTCCTCTAAGTGCTTCAGAATGGATTTTTTGAGGAACTGCTCCATGATTTTTCCAGGGACTGAGGTGAGGCTGACTGGCCTGTAGTTCCCAGGATCCTCCTTCTTCCCTTTTTAAAAGATGGGCACTACATTAGCCTTTTTCCAGTCATCTGGGACCTCCCTCGATCGCCATGAGTTTTCAAAGATAATGGCCAATGGCTCTGCAGTCACATCCGCCAACTCCTTTAGCACTCTCGGATGCAATGCATCCGGCCCCATGGACTTGTGCTCGTCCAGCTTTTCTAAATAGTCCCGAATCACTTCTTTCTCCACAGAGGACTGGTCACCTTCTCCCCATGCTGTGCTGCTCAGTGCAGTAGTCTGGGAGCTGACCTTGTTCGTGAAGACAGAGGCAAAAAAAGCATTGAGTATATTAGCTTTTTCCACATCTGTAGCCAGACAGCCAGCCCCCTCTCAGACCAGCATTGCTGGAAACACAGGTGGAAGCCGGAACAGGGCACTTAACATATATTCCAGCACAGCCTTTGAAGCTGTGAAAGCACAGGTGTGCTGCTACAATGTGCCTCTGGGAACAGATACAACAATTAAGCTCACAGCAGGCAGAGGCCCTGTGACAGACATGGCTCTTAGCCCCTACTAAATAGCGTGATGCACACACACCAACATCCTAGGTGGGAAAATATTTACCCTGATAAAAGAAATGTCCAGTAGTCGACACTTATTGTTTCTCTCCCTTGCAAGTGTAAACTACTCTTGCGAAAGCTGGCGTTACCCAGACAGACCAGCCTCAATTTGGCATAAGAAAGGAGAAAGAGAATAAAGGAGTACAGAGGTATAAGTAGGGGACCTACAGCACCATGATTTTTGAGTGCTTTTCACTATCTATCTGCTGGTCAGATAAGTGACAGCCTCCCAAGGCTTCTGCAGCTAAGAGGGTCCCTACGCCTTGTCCCTTATTCGTCTTTCCGCGGAATTGAGTGACCGATCCTGGCTTGGCACCGCTGGAATCGAGAGATGCAAGGAGGGTAAGAAGCACCCACACCTGATCTCCTATCTTTAGTGTACACATATTTTGAAAAAGAGCTCTATACTTTGTTTTCTTTCTTTGGGATTGTGGCTTCAGTTTTGTAACTTGTTTGTGTGTGTAACATCTCTACATTTAAATAAGTAGGCACTAGCAATTTTGTAACCACATGATTAGAATCTAGCTTAATAAATTTTGGTAACCATTTGTGCATAAGCCTGACTTGTTTTCTCTGGTTTACTGTAAAGCAGCCAACACAATTAAAGAACCTCAGCCGTTTTGGCTCTAAAGCCTGGCATTAGGTGAGAGTACTAAGAGCCTAGCGTTGAGTTGTGCCGCCTCCACGGGGCAAACTCTTGAGGCACCTGTCAGTCAATCCTGGCTGCCCGCTGTGAAGGAGCTCTGAGCTCTAGCAGTTAAAGTCACGGGTGTGGAGAGGCTCTTAGTGCTGCCATTGGGGCACCTGTCAGTCAGTATTGACTGCCCGCTGCGAAGGAGCTCTGAGCTCTAGCAGTTAAAGTCACAGGTGGTTAGGACCTTGGGGCATCCGTCAGCCTAGCCCGGGCTGCCTGCCGCAAAGGGACAGTGCGTCCTAGCGGTTAAAGTCACGGATGGTATAAACGGGCATAGCTGGCACCTCACCAAACATCCTTGGCCGTCGGCTAACAACATCCTCTGTCACTAGGTTGCCTCCCTCATTCAGTAAGGGGCCCACACTTTCCTTGACTTTCTTCTTGTTGCTAACATACCTGAAGAAACCCTTCTTGTCACTCTTAACATCTCTTGCTAGCTGCAACTCCCAGTGTGATTTGGCCTTCCTGATTTCACTCCTGCAAGCCCGAGCAATATTTTTATACTCATCCCTGGTCATTTATCCAATCTTCCACTTCTTGTAAGCTTCTTTTTTGTATTTAAGAGCAACAAGGATTTCACTGTTAAGCCAAGCTGGTTGCCTGCCATATCTACTATTCTTTCTACACATCGGGATGGTTTGTCCCTGTAACCTCAATAAGGATTCTTTAAAATACAGCCAGCTCTCCTGGACTCCTTTCCCCCTTATGTTATTCTCCCAGGGGATCTTGTCCATCAGTTCCCTGAGGGAGTCAGTGTCTGCTTTTCTGAAGTCCAGGGTCTGTATTCTGCTGCTCTCCTTTCTTCCTTGTGTTAGGATCCTGAACTCGACCATTTCATGGTCACTGCCTCCCAGGTTCCCATCCACTTTTGCTTCCCCTACTAATTCTTCCCTGTTTGTGAGCAGCAGGTCAAGAAGAGCTCTGCCCCTAGTTGATTCCTCCAGCACTTGCACCAGGAAATTGTCCCCTACACTTTCCAAAAACTTCCTGGATTGCCTGTGCACCATTGTATTGCTCTCCCAGCAGATATCAGGGTGATTGAAGTCTCCCATGAGAACCAGGTCCTGCGATCTAGTAACTTCAGTCAGTTGCCAGAAGAAAGCCTCGTCCACCTCATGCCCCTGGTCCGGTGGTCTATAGTAGACTCCCACCACGACATCACCCTTGTTGCTCACACTTCTAAACTTAATCTAGAGACTCTCAGGTTTTTCTGCAGTTTCAGCTTGAGCTCTGAGCAGTCATACTGCTCTCTTACATACAGTGCAACTAGATAATACTTAGTCCTGCCATGAGTGCAAGGGACTGGACTAGATATCCTCTCGAGGTCCTTTCCAGTCCAAAAATTCTACGATACTTTAAGCTTTATATATCAACTTGAAAAAGTAATTACCTTTCCAACCCCTCTACGCCCAATCATTTTCCACATCAGAAAATGTTTGAATAAATAATGTTATTTGGAAATACAGAAACAGAACAGACAATTCAGAACACCATATGATTTAGTATTTTTTAGTCCTGCAGAACCAACACAGCTCTGGGCAAGTAAAATTCATTTTTCTTCTTTGCACATCAACAGATTTATTATAACTGCAGATATTTTGCAGATAATTGCAGACAAATTGAGCATATATGCTATGAAATTTAGTGAGCTTTAAAAAGTTACACAAATTATGACTGCATTTTCTATATCCCTCTCATCTTCTCTTTCAATCACTGTGGTCAAGAAACAGAGCAAGATGACTGGGGTCTGAAATTAGCAGAGGAACTCCTGTTGCAAGATTTCATAAACCTGACAAATTATCCCTGCGGAAGATTTTGTTTTGCACACCTTAGCACAATGAATTTGTGTATTGGCAGATGGGAGAAGATAGACAGTGAAAAAATTGTCAATGACATCTTTGATATTTAATACTAAGTAGAAAATCAATTTCTTGAATCAAACAAGTACAGTTATAAAAAGACTCTGCATTTCTCATTTCATTTTCCTCTGAATTTGTTATATTCATGTCTAGCACAGAATCAAGAATAATTTGTATGAGTTTCCTTGAACTGCAGACTCATCACCACTAGTAAATGAGGTTACACATTTAAGTTTAGCTATTTTTAAAAATCCCTGATTTAAAAATATTATAACAAGGGGCACTTGTCTAGGAATTGTTTTGGGGAAGTTCTATAGCACAGGCTATAGCGGTCAGGCTAGAAGATCACAATGGTCCCTCACCTTAGAATCTATAAATCGATTGTTAAGTTTATCACTAAAATCCTAAAAATATTGTAACAGCTGGAGAACATCCTCTGAATTTTTGTTGTCTACAATGTGTCCACTGTGGCTAAAATTTAAAAACTACATACATCTATAGTTATCTAGAAATTATAAAGCACTGGTCTCCATTACTGCGGGTGAGACAATCAACATACCACTAGATAAATAACAAAAGGATGACTTGATATCTGTTAGACAGATGGCCACAGTGGATGGTGTTGAGAGAGTGTAAGATTTGAGTGAAAATGTTTGTAAAAAAGGATCAAAATGTATGTGTTATTGTATAAAGGTCAATACCAAGTTAACTGAAAGCTATTAAAATCCCTGTCCCTTTAACTTAAATCATCCTGTGTAATATTATTCCACTTTTTATTTTAGCACAGACATGGTTTACAATGTATATACACCGATTTCTATTTTGCATTTGAAAATGTACACAAATTGAAAGAGCAGCTTGTATAGCAGTTTTGTCCTACTGCCAATTACAAGTAGTAATTTTTAATTCAACCAGATTTTATCTGAAAGATCATATTAAACATTTACAGAAAATGGAAGCAAAAGTTGGCTGTAAAATCATTCACAGTTTTAGGTAACTGGAGATTAACAGGCAAGAGTGTTTTTGTTTTTCTTTTTCTTGTTCTTTATTTTTTTCCTTGAGAATGTAGCGTGCTTCACATATGATCTTTTAACGATATCCATTTTTATCTTCTTGTTCTTTTTTAGCCTGTGATTTCTGTCAGCTCTGGAAAAAAAAAAAAAAGATAGACAAACCCATTACTACATGCTATCAAAGTACAGGGAATTATACATTGTCATATACAAATACATAAATACAAGTTAAAAGACTGGACTGTTCATGAGCAAAAACTCAGAAGTATTATCACAAAAACAGCTATTAAAAGGAACATTTTCTTTGAAATTGGATTTGTGAGAGTTTAATCTCCCCAGGGATAAGTTTATCCACTTTAACTCGAACACTGACACAGGATCACATTTATTTTGCACTATATATATATATATATATATATATATATATATATATATATATATAAATAAAATCTTTACTCAGTCGTATAATTTTAGATCCAAATGCTTATAAACATTTAAAAGTGTATATATATATAATCACAGATCAAATATAAAACATGGCAATTGTTGATACTGCATGTTCAATACTGAACTTCTCTGCTCACTTTACTATTGAAAAAAGTACACAATGTTTAACAAACATAATAATCTGCACAGAATACAGGAATGAAAACCTAAATAATTAACAAGTGGATTCTTTTCCATCTGTCATGGGCATCCAACATGCTATCAACTCAAAACTACACAATCTTTGTACTAACAATTGCATACATTTGCAGGTGTTTACATTAACTAGCAAAGGAAGCCCATGTTAATCCAACAATTCAATGCACTAGAAACATGTGGAGAATAATAATAAACAGTGGTCTGTAAGAACTACAGTATTTCAATAAGATATAGGTCTTTGATCTCACCAAAACCTGCCGGCATGCAAAGTTTCATGGAAAAGCAAGGTCACACTTATTTTCATGTAGATTTTACTTCTTTGAGGAAAAATATTTTTGGAAAAAATTATGAATGAGGATTTCCCCTACATTTTGGCTATATATTATCCATAATTAGAATGATTGGAAAACAGAAATGTTCAGCTAAGCCTTGCATTGATATTAGGTAGCAAATTACACCTGAGCTGATGTAGTATGGACACAAAATGCTAATATAGTTTTTGGACTGTATATACAGAGGCATCTACTCATAGAGCCACAATTTCTGCCATCTCACCTATAAAAAGGAAAGGTTAAAACACTACATCATCCACTAATAAGTGCACATGCCTTACTAAACTTCAGTAACTGCATGATCTTATTATGGTCATCTTGGTTGCTCTGCTTTGGACAAAAAATAATGGATTTAAACTCAAAAAACTAAAACCTTACAGTAATTGTGGTTCTTAGAGCGGGATCCATGTGGACAAAACATCTCTAGGTGAATATGAACCCCATGTACACAAAATCACTCTTTTGGCCAACTGATGACCATGGAACCATCCAATGAGAGTCCCTCACTCAAATGCATAAAAGCAACACAGTCCCAACTGCTATTCAGTTCCTTCTTACCACCCATGACAGTAAGATGGAACACAAGTGTCCTTGTAGCTCTATCTCAGGGGTTCTCAAACTGGGGGTCAGGACCCCTCAGGGGGTCGCAAGCTGTCAGCCTCCACCCCAAGCCCTGCTTTGACTCCAGCATTTATAATGGTGTTAAATATACAAAAACGCGTTTAATTTATAAGGGGGCGGGGAGGTTCGTACTCAGAGGCTTGCTATGTGAAAGGGGTCACCAATACAAAAGTTTGAGAACCACTTCTGTATCTTCTCTTATTGTTTAGTTCTACCTAGTGTTAGTTATTTGGTAGCTAGTTAAGCTTGTTGACAAATTAAAATCTTTCCCCCCATTTTTAATAGTTACCTTGGTGTTAAGGCAGTGACTATGACTGAGTCTAAGTTTCCAGACTTAGAAACTTGTCTGGTCTGCGAGGCCATTCAATGATGGACATATTAAAGTGCCTTTATTACCTTAGAGAGGGGTATGTGCCTGGAATATGCTCAACATGCAGATCTTTTTTCAAAACATACCCACGAAAGGCCAAACACATCTATTTAAAATTGTTTTCATTAGAGTGCTTCAAGTGAGAGACTGAGCTCTCTAGAAAGAAGCTCCTGTCTCTTTTAAAGTCACATCTACACGTTAGCTGGGGGTGCGAGTCCCAGCTTGAGGAGACATATGCTAACTCTGATCACGCTAGCACACTAAAAATAAAATGAAGCTGAGGCACTGTGAGCAGCTAGATGCGCCAAGTACTTGCCTAGCACCTCCAATGGGCATATATTTTTAGCACACTAGCTCAATCAGAGTTAGTGCAAGTATGTCTCCTTGAGCTGGGAATTATACTCTCATGTTAAAGTGTAGACAGCTAAGTCTGGCTCAGCCAATCATGGGTCTCCTAAGCTTCTTTAAAACCCGGCACTTTATCAAAACAGGCAGAGTCTCTCTCAAATTCCCCACAAAAGTTAAATAGATTGAGTGAGGGGCTCAAGGACAGGGTGCATGTGCAGTCCCAATGGACACTGTTGGCCAAAATATGACCCCAAATCCATGAGGCAATCCATGTGGACAAACACTTGAAGTAGTCGTATCTCCTTTTTATAGACAAGGCTGAAACAGAGATTAAATGACTTGGCCAAAGTCACAAAGGATGCAGGCAGCAAACAGCATGTGAAATGAAAACACTCTCAGAACTTCCTCAATTTATTCATTATCACAGACAATTTGAGGTTACTGAACAACTGTTTCCCTACTTCTATCAAATCATTTTCATGAAATAATAGTCACGTCCCACAATTGAGAGGTGCAGTGTCAAACTTACTTGCCAGCTCTTTCAGTCACAGAAAGATTAGGACAGGTGCTGCGTTTGTGACCTGCTCCACTACAAATAAAGCAGACAGCTTTAGCACTCTCACAAGTGTGACCCTGAAGAGCACAGCGATTGCAAGTGTTGCAGTGAATCCAAGCTGAAAAATAACAGGGATTTATGATTTTGAAAAGACTCACAAAAATATATTAAAATTGAAACATGATTCTAACATCAAGAAGTTTACAGATTGCTTGCAATTTAAAAAGGTATTTTAAGGTTTACGTTTAGTTTCTATTTCACCAGCCATTTTTTTGTTTTCACTAAATGTGCTGGGAGAAAAGAAAAAAGGAACTAGGGACTTCCCCATTAATTCATTGCTTTTCTTTTAGTAAATCCAATAAATTGATAAAACTGTTCTGATGTAGTAGTACTATATTGTACTAAGCTCATCACAGGGATGACAGTCTTAATCTTGGAAATATGATACAGTAGTTAAAGTAACCAAGAAGCTTTGGCTCTGAATTGATAAACTAGTCCTATGTATGCACAGACAGCTCCAAATGAGAGTTGCTGAGCTGTTTTCATGTATCTGAAATGATAAAACACCTGGCAGGGAGAGGGGACTAGGTTAAGAACCATTTATATATGTTTATAGAATTCAGCTGAGAAATCTATGTAAGAATTTTTTCATGATTCTACAATATACAGGAATCAGACTATTTAAGTTCTTCTATAACTAATACAGAAGGAATCTACTGTGCCTTGATTCAACAACAAAAATGTTTTCGCGCAGCTGAAATCCACTCAGACAAGCTGAATTTTGGGGGCTGTCTATGGAAGTTGTTTTTTTTGGTTTGGTATTTTTGCAAGGAATCATTGTGTCTTTTATAGTTTACTATTTTCATTTCTAGTTTTTGTTTTGACTTCTTTGGACTATAACTTATATAGTAAATGTACTTGTATTACTTAGAAAAATATTTTCTGTACTTACAGGGCTTTACGCATTTTTTGCAAAGAAAGCAATGTTTCCATCGCCTTCCATCCTATGAAATAGATTTTGTAAGTAATTTGTTAATTTTAAACACAAATATTTTCAAACATTACTAATGAAATATGTACTATAATTTTAAACTGTACTGTACTCCCAGTCTTCCTGGCATACATCACTGAAATATTTCAAAAATATGGCACATGCATGTACATAGTTGGCATACACAGATACCCTGAAAACACATATCCTGAGCATCCTTTGGCAGCTGTTAGCAGAACTGATGTGCCTTAAAGGATAGCATATTTTTCCACCTTTCCAAACACAGGAAAAATGGTACATGGAAGCATGCTTTTGATGAATGGGGTCATGAGGGTGAAGGGCAAATGTGTAAACTTCTGGTGTCCTTCTTCCAACCCAAAATCAATCAAAAAGAGGAGACAGAAAATCCCACAGGACCTGATCAATAGCCCAAATCAACAGAAAGCCTCCCATACTCAGTTCCCTGCCACGAAAGATATACTGTCAATATCAGGACGGGTTTATAACAAAAGTATGCAAATACATCACTTTACAAGTGCTAAAATTCCCTTCCAGAAAGAGGGACTTACTTTTGATGTACATGAATTGCAGATCTCACAGTGCTGGTTCCCTGAACTAACATATCGCTGACACACAGAGCAAAACCTGAAACAAGCAGTTACAAAAGTATTGGTCTGCTGTTTGCTCAGAGAACCTTATCAATGGATCAACTCAACAAAAAGTTGCACGAGGAATGCAAATTTAGTTTGGTAAATTTAAAATCTCACTATCAAGCTATGGAATAATCAATTTGTTTTTTGTTTTTTTTTAAATACTGGCTGGAGTCACTTGCGCATACACTGTAAGCAAATCCGTTTATACTTTACCTGTAACCCTCTTCCACAGGAAGTACTATCATACTTGGGGAAATGTTGGTGAAAATACGAACAGGAGACTGTTTACGGCCCGTCTTTCCATGTTTATAAAGTGCATGATTATCATAGTCTACCTAGAAAATGAAGGCATAGGAAGAACAAATTAATTAAAAAAACCTCTAAACTTCCTCCCAAGTACTATGCTAAAAAGTGACAATGGCATTTAGCATGTTTACTCCCTTTCTACACCCTCCAAGAGGTTCATGTTTCTATGAGTTAGACTCCATCCCCAGTGCAAACAAAATAGCAAAATTAAATTATAAACTCTAGAGCAGATATTAGGTCATCATTATTAATTAGTGTGATTAGACTACTGGGGGTGACTCAGGGTTCCTATCACTTAACCTAGTGCATCTTCCCTTTTTATTACACTTTTGCGCGGGGTAAGGTTATTTTACAGTTGCTGCGGAGGAAAGAGATATATCTCCTTTGTTAAAATAATCCATTACTTAAATGAAAACTGCATCCAGTTTGCTCAGCCTGGCAGCATGAAAGTTCACAGGCTAAGAAGCATTTCTCATCCCACATAAAAAAGTTTTAATTACAATTACTATTTCTGAGCCTAGTGCTGGAAACTGGTACCTTGCTGTAGAAACTGTCACCTTGGACACTACCAAAATTACAGAGCCAAAAATGTAAACCTGTTTCCCATATAAACATATACAGCGTTTAAAAATATTCCCTTCTTTCCTCAGGCCATTGAACTGAAGTTAAGACAGGTTGGAAACTACTTACTATTGCTTGTCTTGGGCTCTCAGCAGTCAGTGTCAGAATTTCACAATAATAGACTACAATCACGCATCAGACTTTCACAAGAGATGAAGCTCAGAATGAATTTTTCTATCTTAAAAACGTGCTGCATGGTTTATTTAAATAAGCATTTCCCCAAACCACCATGTCATAACTCAATGCAGAAGCAAACACCAGCCCTTGTTACTAGGAAACTGGCTTAATTGAATAAGTAAGGCGAGTTCTACCTTCCTAGCTTTAATTGTATGTATCAGTAGTGTGATGTACTCAGATGATATAGTGATGAGTACAATAGAAATGTAATATTGTTAGGACACCCAAGTCATTTTACACAATGGTATAAAAAACGGATACGCATAGTTCACCAATTTTAGTACAGAATATAAAAACATTTGTTTCACAAGGAAAGATGTTTTAATATATTTCTAACAGACATCCATACAACACAATTGACCTCACAGATACAAATCCTTTGATATAGTACAACACAAACAATTTTACAAATTACATCTATCCACTCATGGAGCCAAAACCATTTCATTGCTTTATCCCTGACGCTTCGAACAAGCATTTGCAAAAAGAATGTTTGCAGTGGTATACAGATCCCATTTCTAGCCCTGATGGGTTGTGAGAAACAGACCTTCAGCTTTTCATTGGTCCAGGATTTAAAGTTATAAAACTTCACTGGCCCAATGGGTAAGAGAAATTCCACGTTTAGGAAAACAAAACTGTTTGGGTCTTATTTATTTAAGAGAGCTGTTTGAGTAACTCAAAGAGCTTGTCTACAAAGGGATATTCAGGGCAAGTCTACACTTTAAGTGCTGCATTCATGCAGCTGCACTGATGGAGTTGAGCCACTGTAGACACCAAATAGTCTCGGGGAGGTGGATTAACTGAGCTGATGGGAAAGCTCTCTCCCATTGACTTAGTGAAGGGGTGGGCAAACTACAGCCTGGGGGCTACATCCGGCCCTCCAGACATTTTAATCTAGCCCTTGAGCTCCTGCTGGGGAGCAGGGTCCGGGGCTTGCCCCGCTCTGGCACTCCAGCCAGGGATCGGGGTCAGGGGTTTGCTCTGCTCCACACGGCTCCTGGAAGTAGCAGCTTGTCCCCCCTCTGGCTCCTACACGTAGGGGCAGCCAGGGGGCTCCACACGCTGCTCCCACCCCAAGCATGGCTCCCACAGCTCCCATTGGCTGGGAACCACAGCCAATGGGCACTGCAGGGGCGGCACCTGCGGATGGGACAGCGCACAGAGCCGCTTGGCCATGCCTCTGCGAGGAGCCAGAGGGGGGACATGCCGATGCTTCCAGGAGCTGCTTGAGGTAAGAGCTGCCCAGAGCCTGCACCCCTGCCCCAGCCTTGATCCCCCCCTCATTCTCCACACCCCTTGGTCCCAGCCTGGAGCACCCTCCTGCACCCCCAACCCCTCATCCCCAGCCCAACTCCAGAGCCCGCACTCCCAGCTGGACCCTGCACCCCAACCCCCTGCCCCAACCCGGAGTCCCCTCCCACACCCTGAACTCCTCATTTCTGGCTCCACACCAGAGCCTTCACCCCCTCCCACACCCTAATCCCCAATTTTGTGAACGTTTATGGCCCGCCATACAATTTACATACCTAGATGTGGCCCTTGGGCCAAAAAGTTTGCCCACCCCTTCACTAAGTCAACAGCACAGTTAATCTACCTCTCTGAGAAGCAGTAGCTATGTTGGCGAAAAAAGCTCTCCCACACAGCACTGTCTACACGGGGGGAGGGGTGTGTGTGTTAGGTGGGTATAACTATGTTGCTCAAGAGTGTGGATTTTTCCACACCCCCGAGTGACACAGTTATACTAATAGAGGTCTGTAGTGTAGATCAGCCCATAGAAATATTAATCCAAATTAACTAAAGGTGGGAATTTAAAATGGAGTAGCTATACTGCATTAAATCCCTGTGCGGACACACTCATTCAGAATTAAAGCAGCCATATTCACTTTGGAAATTAAGTAAATTAAACCGAATTAAGGCCACTTTAATTCTAAATGAGAATGTCCACACAGAGGTTTAATGCAGTTTAACTAATCCACTTTAAATTCAGACCTTATGGCTGGTTTATGCTGAAAACTTACATCTCTCAAGGATCTGAAAAATCCACCTTTGAGAGACATAGCTGGGTTGATGGAAGAATTGTTCTGTTGACCTAGCTAACATTTCTTGGGGAGGTGGATTAACTACAGCGACAGGAGAACCTGGCCCATCACTGTAATGAGTGTCTACGCTGAAGTCCTGCAATGGTGCTGCTGTAGCATTTTAAATATAAACATACCCTTAGTTAATGATTAACTTTTCTGAATGACCCCATGTGGGCAAGCCCAAAGCTTTGTTATATTAAAAGCATCTCAAGTGAGAAGGATTAGTGGATAGCGGGCTGCTGAAGTGTCAAAGGAGCTTGATGAAGGCATCACAGTGCTCCACAGTTTATCTGAGAGATCACCAATATAAATGTGGAATATATGTATCAGGTTAAGAAATAACTTGACAGATGTGGTGTTTGCTCTGCTGCACAGTAAGGCATGAAGTTGAAGACAAATTGCCTTTTGCACAGAAGTATTTTGATTATCTACAGTCCAGCCCATTTTAATTTCTAATATATGTAGGGTAAATTAAGAGCATTAATTAGATTTGGTCATACCTGGTAATCCATCATACTGAAGCTTGGGAAAAACTCAAGAATGCGAGACTCAAAGAAGTATGGAAATATCCAAAAAATGGGCAACTCTTTGCTACTGTGATCTAATAATAAAAAGATTCAGATATATTTTTTGTTAAATAAGGAAAGCAGAATGAACTGCATGAAAATGTACTAATATTTATGCACCCAAAGCAGTTATGTGTGTGAGAATAGCTCAAACGGAACCAATTCCGTTAAGAGGGCAGAATGTTAGCCAGACCACTATGGGTAGTTAGCTTCCACCTGGACAACAACCAAGGACAGGTGTAAGTGACATTGATTTAATGTCTTATCCACAAAACAAACATAGAAGAAATTAAAAAAAGAAAAGAAAATGAAACTTTGTATAAAGAAAGTGATTTGTTGCAATGTCAGGACATTAGTCAAGAGCACCTCAACCATTAGTTAAAACATACATTTAAATTTAGCATATTGGTCTTACATCTTTAGAAACTAGAATGAAAATTTGTGTGCATCAACTCAAGAGTCAGGTACCATTTTAAACAGTAGTTTATTATTACGGGGTGATGAAGTTATTAACTCCATCATCTTATTTGCTTGTAACACATACCTTCCTCTTGAATCTCTCTCCATGTTGCAATCAGCTTTTTGAAACTAAAAGCCAAGGGCTCCACCAAACCTCCAAATGGGGGGTCAGTCACCAATATGACTCCTTCACCTTTCTCTTGATGCAAGAATTTTCTACAGATTTCATGTGCAGCCTGCAGGAGATATAGGTTACTTTCCAGAAAATGAGCTCAAAAAGTTTAAGGACAGCATTGGGCATTATTAAAAAATGTGTTTTTTATAAGTGTGCAGTTTTCTTTTAGAAGTCTGAAAATGTGTTTTGCATTTTAATTTTTTTTTAGTGAATTTAGTGTTTGTAAAAACTGATAGATTAAAAACACTGAAAATGAGTCTTTATATTTCATAGGCTAGATATAGTAAGGATAGCAACAGCTCGAGCTTCCTAACACTGCCCTTCTTATTGGGTCCTAACCCTGACCTGGAGAGATGGAGGCTGCTAGGAGCGAGAGAGTAGCTCAATCTCAATGCCAATTCAATATCTGCTCTTTTCCCTTGGTTGGCAATTAGTGCAAATTATGAATGCAGATGGAGAATAGCTACCCCACTAGGAATTAGGATAAATTCACCAGTTCATTCCATATCATTACCAAATCTATTACTTTTCAGAAACCAACATTCCATTTTGGAGCTGGATTTCCACTGATAGCCTTTCACATCTAGATTAGTATTCTACTAACATCTGTTAGGATATAGATATTCAGGTCTGTCTGTAAAGGCCTATACTCTAAGAATTTAGGTGTATTCTTATCAGTTGGCTAGTTCTAGAGGTATAAAAGAAAGAATCAAAATCACTGTCTGCTGGTGTAAGGGCCTTCTCTTACTGTGACAGTCTGAGGCCCTGTTCTTAGCTAAGGCCTTTGGCTAAGCAGCAGAGGCAGCCATAAACAGGGAAGTGAATGGTCACATCCTCACATTCCAAACTAGTCACATTGAAATAAGGTGCTATTGGGCTGTTAGGAATACAATCCTGTCCTGATAGTTCCTATCACTTCCAGAGAAAGGGAAGCGCCTAGAAAATGTAAAAGGAAACTTAGTTTGATAGCATCCTGTCTGGCAAGAACTCACTTATCAATAGCTGGGATGTGAAATCCTCACTTCTGTATTGTCTTGTCATTATAGTTCCCACTTTGCTATTGTTTGTCTGTATAATCTCTGTCTGGTTCTGTGATTGTTCCTGTCTGCTGTATAATTAATTTTGCTGGGTGCAAACTAATTAAGGTGGTGGGATATAATTGGTTACATAATCATGTTACAATATGTTAGGATTGGTTAGTTAAATTTCAGGAAAATGATTGGTTAAGGTATAGCTAAGCAGAACTCAAGTTTTACTATATAATCTGTAGTCAATGAGGAAGGGTGTGGGTGTGGGAGATGGGAACAGGGAATGGGGGTAAGGAAATTGGAATCATGTTTGGCTAAGGGTAGGAATGGGAACAGGGACACAGGTGTAAGGCTCTGTGGTGTCAGAGCTGGGAAGGAGGATACTAAGGAAGGAAACTGGAATCATGCTTGCTGGAAGTTCACCCCAATAAACATCAAATTGTTTGCACCTTTGGACTTCGGGTATTGTTGCTCTCTGTTCATGCGAGAAGGACCAGGGAAGTAAGTGGGTGAAGGAATAAGCCCCCTAACAACATCCTACACAATCATGTACTGTTCCTTCCCCTATGAACCATGTCCAACTCTGTCTGGTGGAGGGGGAGGGGGGAAATCTTTATAATAACTTCTATTCATAAAAGTGCAGTGGTTCGATAGCCTCAAATAATTTATTATACTATTATGTATACACTTCTATAGTGCCAATCATTTGAGACTTCCCATAAGTTAAAAAATTAAACTACAATGGGGTGTAACTATCCCTAATTCACTTTTTTTTCCCTTTTTCTTTTTTTTTTTTTTTTAAAAGTGAGACACAGTAATACTTTAATAGAATGATAAAGGATTGGATTTGAACCAAGAAGGCAAGGAAAGTTTATTATGGGCCTGAAACCTCAAATAGCTAGTTTCACTCCTGAACGTTAGTTTTCTTTATTATTTTTGAGTCAACGTTAAAAGCTATGGTTTATGATGCAAAAATATGAATCCTAGGTGAAACCAAACTAAAGGGCACTGCTACAGATATATTATTATAAACTGGTATCTACAATAACAATGGCTCCAGAGGAGACTAACATTTATTGTGTAAAATTACTTGGATGAAGGTATTGTCAGAAACAATCTCAAATTTGTAGGTTATATTACAGTATGGTTCCACTCTGGAAAGTGACTATAAATATGGCATTGTGGGGTTGCATGTTTCTTTTCAATGATTTCCAGACCCAAAGTGATCAGTATACCAGTAAAAAGATGTTTTTGCTAACTGTCAACGTTACATATTTGTCCTCATTTCAGACAGTCAAGCTGAGATATTTCGATCTTGAACACTTGTAGTAAATCCTGCCCTCAGTGGACCAGTGTAACCCCACGGTCTTCAGTGGGACTTCAATAATAAATTCTACTAGTGATTCACAAGTGGGAAGCTTGTTCCCTCTTCACTGTGTTGGATCTGCAAGACTAACTGGAGTATAAAGCAGTAGCCAGCAGATAGGATTCTGAAGACACAAAGGGAGTAATCTGCTGAGAAGGGTGGGGCCTTTTTTTCTCCAAGTCACTTCTCAGAGTGGATCCTCACTTCAAGCTAGTATAAACAGAAAAATAAGATACAGCAGAACTTGATCACTGAGTACACCAGCTAACAGAGCGCCAACTACTAACGATCTGGGATTGAGGAGGAAATTTTCCTGTGGATGGATTATTGTCCATTATAGGACTTCTGACACCCTCCTCTGAAGGATCTGGCTTTGGCCACTGTCAAGACAAGATACTGGACTAATGGGCCACCATTCTAATCCAGCATATTCCTAACTCTGTTGCATTCCTCAATATTGTCCATTTGAGATGCTTTCTTTCTTATGTAAGAAAATAACTTGTACTGACAAACTCTCTCTCTTTAATACAAAATAACTAAAAAGTATTTAAAGTAAAAGTAACTAAAAATATTTAAGTAGCACTAGTTAAAATAGGCAGTGATGTCCTTGGATATAATGGTATAAGTTACTGAAGAAATTGACACTGCTATTCTTTGATCTAAAGTAGAGTTTGCTGGGCATTACATTATGGTAACTATTTTATAATATGTTTGACCATATCAGTAATATGGACAAAGTTCTACATGAACAACATACACAGCTTTGAGAAAACATTCAGGGAATTTGACTGGCCCTTACCTCTCCACCAAAGAAATAATGGTTAAACATATTATAGTGGCAGAAGTCTTCCTCTGTATAAAACTGTGAATACCTGTAAAATAAGTTTTGAATGTAATAGAAAACATAAATTCCTGTATGTTAGTAATAAGATTTAGGGTGAAAACTTGTGAGCACAGGGCCATGACTGGTTAATTACAAAATATCTTGACAGGCTGAGTGCAGAGGACAAGTACTTATATTGGCCAATCATTGAGCTAGTTGGAAAACAAGTATACCACATGGATCCTGGCTAGGGGAAAAAAAGAACAGATGGCAAAAATTAAAAATGAAATAAACCACACAGAAAAAATAGTTTGTGTATGTTCCCCATACAGACAGACACTTAACAAAACCTACCTGAAATCAATATCTAGCAGAAGGCTTTTAACACTGGACTCCTGTTCTCGTGATGCTTTTAATCGGATCAACTCATGAAGCCTGAGGTAATTAAAGCAAAGCAGTTTAACGTATCATATCATGAGTGCTTCAGAAAATAGTTAACTAGACAAAGAATGACCAATAGTTTTCCAAAGAAAACAGCTTATTTTTCAGATGAAATCACACTGAAATCTCCCAAATTCAAGTTATCAATCTTTCAGTTTCACTACTATTTAAAGTTAGAAAAAAACATCCCATTACCTGAAACACGATATTAGAGATGATAAAGCAGTGGAGATTGTTGAGCCCAACAGAATTCTCAATACTTTTTTTTTTTTTAAATAAAGAGAGGCTTCTTGTGTCAAGGAGAAATCCAGTGCACTTCAGTGCCACTACCATGGAAGACAGCAAAATTCTACTTTCTAATGAAAGAAGACTGTTGGTACTTCACTATAATATTTATAAGGCCTTCCCTTCCTGTATCTTCATAAGATCTTCATGAGCTGCTTTGGCAATACCAAGTACCTCAAACCAGAGCTCATGAAGGCACTTTAATGTCACATACAGAGGGAGAGAACCCTTCTGCTAGATACTGAATCACGTAAGAAAAAGGACTAAGCAAATTAGGTCTTGTCTATACTACAAAATTAGGTCGATTTTATAGAAGTCAATTTTTAGAAACTAATTTTATACAGTTGACTGCGTATGTCCATACTAAGCACATTAAGTGGGCAGAGTGCATCCTCACTACTTGTGGCTAGCATCAACTTACAGAGCGGTGCACTTTGGGTAGCTATCCCACAGTCTCCACTGCCCATTGGAATTCTGGGTTAAGCTCCCAATGCCTGATGGGGCAAAAAAATTGTCGCAGGTGGTTTTGGGTACATGTCGTCAGGCCCCCCCTCCCTCCTTCGCTCCCTCCGTGAAAGGAATGGCAGACAATCATTTCGTGCCTTTTTTCCTGGGTTACCCGTGAAGACGCCATACCATGGCAAACATGGAGCCCACTCAGCTCACCGTCACCGTACATTTCCTGGGTACTGCTGGCAGGTACTGCATTGCTACACAGCAGCAGCTCCTTGCCTTTGCGGCAGATGTACGATGGCTATCAGTCCTACTGCACCATCCCCTGGGTGCTCCTGGCAGACCTCGGTGAGGTCGATCAGGGGCGCCTGGACATACATGGCTATCCTCCTCTTAGAGCACCGAATGGGAGCCAGAGACTCCAGGTCATTCTCTTCTTTAAGTTTTGTCTCATGGAGATTCAGTCCTGCCTGGAATATCATGTGAGCTGGAGGCCTCTCCCTCAGGCTGCTCTCCCAGCCAGCAGCACCGCGCGGTCGCACCTACCCCAGCCTACCCCTTGCTCCCATGGCTCATGAAGCCTGGACAGTAGTAAGAGGCAGTTCAACTATAGGCTGAGCAAGTGCAGAATGGTGGTAGAATGTGCCTTTGGACATTTAAAAGCTCGCTGGTGCTGTTTGCTGACTAGGTCAGACTTCAGCGCAACCAACATTCCCATTGTTATTGCCGCTTGCTGTGTGCTCCATAATATCTGTGAGAGTAAGGGGGAAACGTTTATGGCAGAGTGGGAGGTTGAGGCGAATCGCCTGTCATCCGATTTTGAGCAGCCAGACACCAGGGCAATTAGAAGAGCACAGCAAGGCGCGCTGCTGCGCATCAGAGAGGCTTTGAAAACCAGTTTCATGACTGGTCAGGCTTCGGTGTGACAGCTGTGTGTGTTTCTCCTTGCTGCAAACTCACCCCCTTTGTTGATTTTAATTCCCTGTAAGCCAACCACCTCCCCATCTCGAAATAAAGTAATTATTGTTTTGAAACCATGTATTCTTTCTTTATTAATTAAAAAAAAATATGAGATAACGGACAAGGTAGCCTTGGTGGGATGGGAGAGGAGGGAAGGACAAGGCCACATTGCTTATTGTAGCCACACTAAAAATCAAACTGTTTGAATGACAGCCTTCTGTTGCTTGGGCCATCCTCTGGAGTGGAGTGGCTGGGTGCCCGGAGCCTCCCTCCCCCCAGTTCTTGGGCGTCTGGGTGAGGAGGCTATGGAACATGGGGAGGAGGGTAGGTGGTTATAGAGTGGATGCAGTGGGGGTCTGTGCTCTTGTTGGCTTTCCTGCAACTCCAACAGATGCTTCATCGTGTCCGTTTGCTCCCCCATTAGCCTCAGCATCGCGTCCTGCCTCTGCTCTTCGTTCTCACTTAATTCTTTCCTGGCCTCTGCCACCGAATGCCTCCATGCATTAAGGTGTGCCCTATCAGTGCGGGAGGACTGCATGAGCTCGGAAAACATGTCATCGTGAGTGTGGTTTTTTTGCCTTCTAATCTGCGATAACCTCACGGACGGAGATGATAGGGGGAGCATAGAAACATTCTACGCTCTACAGTTCTGGGGAGACTGCATGGTCACCTGTGCTCCTGAGTTCGCCACGCTGACCAAACAGGAAATGAAATTCAAAAGTTTCTGGGGGTTTTCCTGTGTACATGCTAGTGCACCAGAGTTCAAAGTACTGTCCAGAGCAGTCACAATGGAGCACTCTGGGATAGCTCCTGGAGGCCAATATCATTGATTTGCATCCGCACTACCCCAAATTCGACCCAGCAAGGTCCATTTTAGCGCTACTCCCCTCATCGGGGAGGAGTTCAGAAGTCAATTTTAAGAGCCCTTTAGGTCGACGGAACGGGGTTGGTTGTGTGGACGCAGTCATTTTTAAAATCGACCTAATGCAGCTAAATTCGACCTAACCTGTAGTGTAGACCAGGGCTTGGTAACAAGAATTTCTTGCAAGACATATTGATGCTCACTAACATACCTTGGTGTGCCAACACAAAGCACTCTTTTGAATCCTAGAGCAATAATAAGGTCCAGCAGAAACTGACAGCTTCTATCTGCAAACAAATACTGTGCATTTGTCTTCTTATTCTTCAGTGGACACAAAAGTTGACTGGGCCTTTGTAAATGGGCAATGGAGAGATCACTCAGTATTTGATGGCCAGAGTGTTTTCCCCACTCCATTGGCAATAGCAACTGCTGGCATTCTTGACAAAATTTCCTTTTTGATAATGGCAATAGACCAAACTGCTTAAACCTTCAAATACAAGATAAAATGAGGAACCAATTTTAGAAAACAAACTATTGAATGAAGGTATGAAATTAGTCCAAGTATTTTATAAAAGTTTAAACAATACAGTAGCACTATTTCAAAGGTACTGAACCTCAATCAATTAATGGTTAGGAAAAAAAATGTTCAACAGCATGCTTGGGAAAAGCCTTACTTGACAAGAAAAGGGTGTAGCATGGGGGCTAACTGTGTTGTGAATCTCAACAGAGATTGGTATACATAGAGAAGAGCCTATTCCTGCTACCAGCTAATCAGCTACTCCTTTAACTTAAGTGGTAGAAGCCTGTTCCTTTGGTGCTAAAGGTTCAAATGACCGTAGTAACTGAAGATATTGGGCCCCCTCCAGACTTCTAACAGCAACACGGTCAGCAATACCCTTGGACTGGGGCAAAAACTTCTTCTACAAACTCTGGAGTAGGATGGTTAGTCTCTAAGGTGCCACAAGTACTCCTTTTCTTTTTGCATATTCAGTAGTGTACATTTCTTTTGTGCTATCCAGCTCACTTAGTCGAGTAATTGGCTTTCATTTTTATATTATTTTCCAACTGCATTCACTACTTGATTTGAACTCCTACTACTGCTGACCTACATTATTTTTATTACCTTAGCGCCCACGATGTGCTAGGCATTGTCCACTCATACAAAGATACAGTCCCTGCCCTGAAGAGATCACAATTTAAGGAAACTTTTCATGTAATTTTATCTTCATAGTTTATTGGTTCTTATTTTCCCAAATCTTGTCTGTAATTTTTCATATTTTTAATCAGCATAATGGAGGGATGATCAGTACATATGATGTACCTAAACTATCTACATGCTCATATTTAGTAATGAAAATGCACATAGTAACAATACCTTTCCACGTTCTGTCTGTGTGACAAAGAGGGTTGACAACTTCTATTAACTCCTTCTCGTGCTGAAAGTCTACCTTCTAACACCTGTAGATATAGAAAATGTAAACAAAGATGTGAAACTAACTATGCTATACGAAAAGTTCACACTTCTCTGTTGAAAAAAAAAGTATGGATTCCCAGAAGACCTAACATTTCTATTTCAGCATCTGACTATCCCTGCAAAAGATCCTACTACTCAGAAGAATTCCCACAATCCCTGCAGAGATCATGGCAGCATTCAACATACTGGAAAGGTGATTCCCTGAAAAAATTCAAACAGCCTATGAAAGGATAGATTCCCTTCTTTTCATCCTTCTACAATAATAAAACCAGGAGTGGGAAATCAAAAATGTTCTGTTGCAGTGGAGTGAGAGAAGGATTTACCCACTGTTAAAGGATGCCACAGTCTTAAATGAGATTCTAATCCCCTTACGGAGTATAAACCTGGTCCTGCCACCAAGGACAATGAGAATTTTGCCATTGGCTTCAATAGGTGGAGGATCAAGGCCTTGTAGCTGTCCTGAAGGTATGACTGACCCTCCCCAAGTATTTTAAAAATATTTATTTTATTCCTATAAGAAATTCACACTTCCTGTCAGATTTTATTTAACCTTTTTAATGCAGCTGCAAAACATCTATAAAGAAGCGACAAAACTAGTTTATTTAAAGGACACAATGGAAGGCTGTGAAGTTTAATGGACTAGGAACCAAGGAACCTAAAGTATGTATAATTCCTGTATGGACACGTCTATCCACTGGCAACACCACTTCACTCCACACAATCCAGCGAATAGCCATCTCACACAGTTTTCAAGTTAGACAACTTTTCATCACTTCCAAACAGCTGGGTTTGAACAACAGACCAAATGGTGAAAGGCTTAAGAATCGGATTGATAAACGTCCATGCTAATATCATCCCCCAAGAAGTGAGTTTTAAGATCCAATTTGAATCATGCAGACATGTTGAGAATAGTATTGGAAAAAGAGATAAGTTACACACTCATGAATGTGAAGAAATGATAACACTAAGCCTAGTGGGAAGATACTGTGGCAAGCTATTCCCTCCGAGCTCCACCAATGCTCATCAATCCTAAGTTAACATTATTTTTAAATTGTCTGAGCAAAGACATACAAATCAGGAAAGGGTGCAAGGAACTGTATTGTGTTTTGTAATATTCACATAGAGTGACATTTAACCTCAGCTGTACTTCCTTTGAAAGCAAATCCTATTTGAAACTGGATCTCCAGAGCTGCAGGGATATTTCACCATTTAGCCCATTCTCTTTGTCCAACAGCTGGAACTTTAGAAATAGTAAATATTATTGCTTCTCAGATAAAAGAAATCTTCAGTTCAAATATATACACACACACACACATACATATACATATACACACACACAGGAAAAAAAAAACATTAACCATATCTTAAATAGTATTTTCTTACCTTTTCATTTTCCCACTGAAAAAAATTGCAGTCTTTCCTATCTCTACATGCTGAACAAGCATAAAATCTTCTTCCCTCTTCTTTTCCTTGGCTAATCTTTACAAACAGAAGAGTAGGACCTAAAGAAGAAATGTGCTGAGATCAGTACCTTTAAAAGAAAAAAATGCAATTTTTCCATTTGCTACAACACTAGCTATAAGGGATTACAGAATTAGATTTGAGATATATTTATGGCCATCCCTCCCCGAACCTGCCTACGTCCCCTCTGCTACAACTCGCCCCCATTCTCTCCAGCCCCTTCCCGTCCCGAGTTCCCTCCCCATCAATCTCCGCTGGCCTCTGCTCCCCTCCAACCAGCCCCCATTGTCCTCAGCCCCACCTTTCCTTCCCCCCCCCCCGACATCCCTCCCTCCGCTCCCCTCCTCCCCAGCCCGCTGGCTCCCCGCCAAGCCCGCTGCCCCCTGCTCCCCTCCCGGGCTCCGTCCCACTGGCCGGGCTCAGGACTCACCGTGCGGGCAGCAAGGAGCGGGCCGGCCGGCCTCCTGCCCCAGCACCACCGCCACCCCCGAGCCCCGCAGAGTCCTCTCGCTTCCGGCCGCCGCATCCCCCATGTCAATCGCCAAACCCCGCTCCGCGGAAGCTGCCATGCCACCGTCCCGGCAGCCTCAGCGCCCGCCGCCAGTATCGGCTGGTGATGAGTCCTGCGGGCGAGAGAACCCATGCAAACCCCACGCTGCGTGCGCCGGCTGCAGCGCCACCCCGTGGCCGGAGGAGCGCCCGCCCCAGCTGAATAGCGCCTGGGATTTGCAGCCCTAGTTAAATGACAAACATTAAGCGTTTTCCTCACTTCTGTCCCTTCCCTCGCCCCCATCCGCACAGAGAGCTGCGGCTGCACCTGCCCAGCCCAGGCCCCATTTTGAAATTTTATTCTCGCACATCTTTTAAAAACATGATCTCCTTGCTGGAGGTGGGGAGAGCTGAAGGAGTCCCACTGGCTCTGGGTTTTCTTGTTCTGCAGGAGCTGCGCCTTGGTTCTTGTCAAGGAAAAGTTAGCACATGTGACTCCATTTTGGTTTGGGGCCCACCATTGTCCAAAAACAAGCACATCATGCACCAGGAGGCCTGTTCCCTAGCTACTGCATTCCTGTGAAAATCCTCCTCCTTGTCTCCAGCCTGCCTTGACTCCAAGTATCTGTTCTTTCTCAGTCCCTAAACTCCCTATCTCCTGGCCTTTGATGTGAGGTCTCCCATCCTGATAATAAAAGTTACTGATGCATGGCTTTAGGACCGTGCTGTGTAATTAACATACTAGTTTAGCCCGAGGAATGCACCAAGCAGGGATAGGTGGTAGATAAGAAAAGGGTTTGTGTCATAAATATAAAGGGAAGGGTAAACCCCTTTGAAATCCCTCCTGGCCAGGGGAAAGCTCCTCTCACCTGTAAAGGGTTAAGAAGCTAAAGGTAACCTCGCTGGCACCTGACCAAAATGACCAATGAGGAGACAAGATACTTTCAAAAGCTGGGAGGAGGGAGAGAAACAAAGGGTCTGTGTCTGTCTGTATGCTGCTTTTGCCAGGGACAGAACAGGAATGGAGTCTTAGAACTTTTAGTAAGTAATCTAGCTAGGCATGTGTTAGATTATGATTTCTTTAAATGGCTGAGAAAAGAATTGTGCTGAATAGAATAACTATTTCTGTCTATGTATCTTTTTTGTAACTTAAGGTTTTGCCTAGAGGGGTTCTCTATGTTTTTGAATCTAATTACCCTGTAAGATATCTACCATCCTGATTTTACAGGGGGGATTTCTTTATTTCTATTTACTTCTATTTTTTATTAAAAGTCTTCTTGTAAAAAACTGAATGCTTTTTCCTTGTTCTCAGATCCAAGGGTTTGGGTCTGTGGTCACCTATGCAAATTGGTAAGGCTTTTTATCCAACATTTCCCAGGAAAGGGGGGGGTGCAAGTGTTGGGAGGATTGTTCATTGTTCTTAAGATCCAAGGGTCTGGGTCTGTAGTCACCTAGGCAAATTGGTGAGGCTTTTTACCAAACCTTGTCCAGGAAGTGGGGTGCAAGGTTTTGGGAAGTATTTTGGGGGGAAAGACGCGTCCAAACAGCTCTTCCCCAGTAACCAGTATTAGTTTGGTGGTGGTAGTGGCCAGTCCAAGGATAACGGGTGTAATATTTTGTACCTTGGGGAAGTTTTGACCTAAGCTGGTAAAGATAAGCTTAGGAGGTTTTTCATACAGGTCCCCACATCTGTACCCTAGAGTTCAGAGTGGGGGAGGAACCTTGACAGTTTGTTTATTGGCTAAGGTTTCCGATGCACGAGGGCAACATGCTTTGCTAAAAAGTATATAACCTTTGTATAATCTGTGTTCGGGGTCCCCTCCTGGCTAGCAGGGGGGCACAACGTTTCAGCATAATAAACTTAGTGTCTTTTGGGAACTCTGCAGTTGTGGACTTTGTTTATGTGCCTCAGCCTAGATTTGAACTGTGCATGACCTACCAGGTATAATTCGCAGCAGTTGTGTGTGTGTCCTCTCAGGTATAATTCGTAACATTCTCACAACTCTCATCATTTGCCACACTCAAAACAGGCTTTTCAAATGTGGGTGTAATGTAGGGGAAGTCTACTCCTTAGACTGCAACAGGAACCATTTGAACTGGAACTGTATTTTAGTAGGTTTTATCCGATTTTTCTGTATCACTGCTCTTGGAGTGCAACATCCATATTTTCATGTGTTTATACTTTAAAAAGTTACCTTTTAAATTGACATTTTTCATACACATTGACTTAGACAGAAAGGGTGGTTTTGCACAGGTAGGCCTCACGGTGGGCCTACTCTGAAATTTGACTTCAGCACAGGAAAGTTTACGTGTGCAGCTGATCCCTTTGCACAAGCGTTGTTTTCCAATTTCAGTCACAAACAAGTTTTTACTGCTGTGGATGCCTATTTCACCTACAGAATCAATATAGCTGAGAGTGGATGAACTGCATTCTATTCCTTCTCAATCAAAATTCTTAGTGAGTGCTCATTTATACAACCCCACTGAATATACGGGAGTTGCACAGATGTCACATAGAGCAGAATTTAGCCCGCACAACTTTTGTTACAAGTCATAGATATGATAAGAAAACCCAGCTGGTGTCTCAGGTGCCAGGTGGAGGTTATTCACTGTCAAATAAATATAGAAATCAGCTACCACAGAATGCCCTTCTGACTGTGACAGTGGCTTCTTTAAGTAGTACTGGTTCTGAAACTAGGGAGTGAAAAGCATCTCTCCCTGTGGTAAAAGTGCAGTCCTTGTGACTCCATAGGACCTCTGCTCCTTCTCAAATGTTACATACATATACACACACCCCAGAAATTTAAAACAAGGCATCACCCTCCACTAAAACAGCAAAGAAAAAAGGGATGTGGAAAATCCTACTCTCTTCCTTGGTACTTAAGGATATGTCTACACAGCAAAGAAAAACCTGCAGCTGGCCCATGCCAACAGATTCAGGCTCATGGGACTCAGGCTTTGGGCTGAAATCCAGACTATAGGACCCTGCAGGGCCTGAGAGCCCAGAAGTCTACACAGCAATGAAACAGCCCCACCGCCCCGGCCCTGCAAGCCTGAGTGTCAACTGGTGAGGCCAGCCATGGGTTTTTCTTTGCTGTGTAGACGAGTAAGTGTGCCAAGTACATGCTATCTTGGACAACATATGGGCACAGAACACAAAGGGAAACGAGCAGGTAAAAATAAAATACCATGTTTTTAAGGTTTCAGAGTGGTAGCTGTGTTAGTCTGTATCAGCAAGAACAACGAGGAGTACTTGTGGCACCTTAGAGACTACAAATTTATTTGGGCATAAGCTTTCATGGGCTAAAATCCACTTCATGAGATGCATGCAGCGGAAAATACAGTAGGAAGGTGTGTGTATATATATATATACACACACACCACGAAAAAACGGGATTACCATACCAACTTTAACAAGACTAATCAATTAAGGTGGGCTATAATAGTGTGTGTGTGTATGTATATGTGTATGTGTGTGTGTATATATATATATATATATATGTATATATATATGTATGTGTATATATATAAAAAAATCTTCCTACTGTATTTTCCACTGCATGCATCTGATGAAGTGGGTTTTAGCCCATGAAAGCTTATGTCCAAATAAATTTGTTAGTCTCTAAGCTGCCACAAGTACTCCTCATGTTTTTAAGAGTATCTAACTATAGATCATTAGGTAGAGTCAAGCTGCCTGCACTTGTTAGTTTCACAAGCATATTATTCACGGTATTTATAAATTCAGCCAAGAGGAATTCCTGTTTGCTCTTTACTATTCATTGGCAGGAGACAAGTTGTAACAGAGCAGCAGCACATACGTTTATATTGTGTAAGGGAAAAAGACAAACTGCAGAGTATTATTATTTTAATAACTTGTGGAGTGATTATAGAAATGGCAGTATTCAGGACTCACTGTTTTCTTCTGTTGTTGGTGCTTGTTAATTTAGATAGGTAAAGAATAGCTAAATAATGTAACCATTTTCAGAATACCTATTCTTGTTTCAGTCTCATCATAGATGAATGGCTTCAATGCCACATGGCTGCCTGAACAGCTTCTTCACAGCAGGTACTTGAGTCTCAACAGAATGTTAAGTACGCAAAAATAAAGTTAGTATCCAAGATATCCAACTGCTTATTAGAAATGTGTAAGTTTGTTAGTATAGTACTAATGGCATTGCAAGTGTTTTTTGTTGTACTCTTTCCCATTATATGTAATATTGAAAAACTTCTCAATGTTCTACACCATGTACATTTTATCTTGTAGAAAGTGATTTGGATGCAGACTTTACAAAAGATTAAGTTAAGGTCCTCTTCCTGCTTAAGAAATAAGACACTTTAGGCAAAAACTATTCATTTCAGACTGACATTTATTGTTGCAAGTAGGCATGCCCAATACCTTAAATATACTCTTTAAATTTAAGAAATTGTTCAGCTAAAAACTGAAGCCATAGAACTTTATAAAGGTGGCTGCCTCAATCATATTTTAAACACCACAGTCCAGTAAATTCTACATTTAAGGCTTAGACATTTTAGTAAATCAAGGGAATTCCTGACATGCTACAATATGTACATCAACCCAAAATTATATAAAACAGTATACAAAGATTTTGTTTTTGGGATTAATAGTATTGCTTGGAATTATAAAATACAGCAATGTCTGAAATACTTAAACTGTAGATTTCCTAAAAGCAACAATATTTGTAACAAAGGTTTTTCCCCCACCCCAGGTCCTAACCTTCCAGGACATCACTGAAGTAAAAATAATTTACCATATCACATAAGCCACAGATGTGAAAGATGAGTCTATTTTAAACTGTGTAGCTTCAACATAAAAACAAATAAGTGGCAGGCAAACATGGGGTTGCAAGGAGTCCAATGACAGTGTTGCTGTACTCTACACATTGCAATCTATTTTCTGCCTTTGCTGGTCCACATTAAATAATGGAGAGCATTTAAACTGAAATGTTGCAAGTGGGATGGCTCAACAACCAACACTCCAGTGTTTTCATCAATCAACAATGGCAGGGAACTACTTTGGTGTCAGTTAATATACTCCATTGAATTGTCATACATAGCATTAGCCATCAATTCTAAACAAAACTATGTAGTA